CTTCTCATTCTTCCCTTTGACTTTGACTTTGACTTTAACTTTGACTCTCCCCCTTCCAGTTCCTCATCTTCTTCGTCTTCTTCGCTTCTTGCTTTCACTGCAGACACGCTCCTTATCAGCAGCTTCTTGATTTTCTGCGTCTTGCTTTCCCGATTCTCGCTCTCTTCTCTCGCCGCCGGCGCCGGTGACCTCTCGCCGGATGTCATCTTCACCATCCTCCCTCGTCTCGCAAACAACAGTACTCCTCTTGGCTCCGCCAGCTTCATGGAAGTTCTCTCTGCAAATTTAAGGTTGTTTTCATCATGATCTTTATTACCCATTTCATGGTTTGCGTCCGTCTTCCGGCCGGCGGGTTTTTGATGCTGGTTTGAGTGGTGGATCCATGGCTGCAGTAAGCGCTTGAGCTGGTCGTTAATGGTGGAGGTGCGGAGAGGTGACAAGGAGCGGGCCCGCCGGTGATTAGTCGCCGATGATCTCTTTTCTTGCTTGACGTTGTCGAGAGCCGCCATGAACGGGTCATAGTCGTCGTTCCACAACATCCGCCGGCCGGAAAATGGGATCTTCATCATCACTGAACTCTGAGAAGAAGAAGAAGATGACGACGACAATAACGATGAAGATGAATACGGCAACGTTTTTGACAATAACGATGAAGATGAATACGGCGACGTTTTTTCCAATAATTGGCTATCTCTATAACCAAACTTGTACTGAAGACGAGGTGGGAGTTTCAGTGGCATAACAAGCTTCCCATCACGAAACAACTCATCGGCAAACGCCATCGCAGGAAACGACGTCGTCCCCTGTATCCTCTCCTTCTCCTCGTCATGAACAAAACGACGTCGGATGGTAGCAAACTCAAAGTCGTCGTCGTCGTCGTCGTCGTCGTCGTCTTCATCATCATCAAAACTGGAATTAGCATCTTGGTACGTACTACCCGTTGGTGTTGTGGGCTGATCAGGCTGTTGTGCATCTTTGTTGTGCAAGTTTCTTATGGGACTTGGTGACATGCTGTAGAAGAAGAAATCCATGGTGTTTCCGTACTCGTCCGCCATGTTTGATCTGGTTGGACTGGTCGGCGCACTCATATAGATGGAGTCATTTGGGGTTTGAGGCGCCATTTCTAATCGATGAAAAACTAGGCAGGCGACTGTGGTTTGCTCGTAAAGCCGGGTTTTACTCCTGGTTTAAGGGAAAGACTCTTATGGGTGTCTAAGTATATATATATAGGATTTTGGGTGTTTTGCTTCCAAAATGTTCTTCAAACTTTAGGTTTATGAATACGAATATATATATAACGTAGTATTAATTAATTGAGGAATTGTCGATTCACGTTTGTCTTATATAATATGTATTATATTCATATATTTTTATATATTATTCTTAAATATATATTATTCACGTAACTAAACCATATTAAATTTCTAACCATCAACTTAAAAATCATAAATTCAAATATAATAATATACAATTCTAACACTATATATAAATATATTATGGATTCACGTATAACATAACAACAATATTTACTTTAATAAATTTATGATTCAATTCATTAGTGACGTCATTGCGATTATTAGAATTGAGTTAAATTTTGTACATGCGAATTACTTTAATTTAATCAAAAAAAATATTTTATAATAATTAAATTATATAATAAATTAATACCTAATCTAATATTTTTATTTTAAAAAGCTATATTTTTTTATATAAAAATTTATATATTTTAATAATTAAATAATATACACACATTAATTACAATACAACTTTTAAAAATTATAGAAAATCATACATGACCAAAGTTTTGTCTTTAAGTTTCTTGATTTCTTTAATACTTTGTAGGGCATATCCGATCCATAAGATACTTAGCCTTGTAAAGTTCACAATGTACCTCATATAGATATTTATTTTTGTATGGTTTGGATATCCAAATCATACAAAACGATCATGAGGGGAATCAAATAATCTCCTTATGTATACTAACTAATATATATATATATATATATATATAAACACACACACATATATGCACATATATATGTGTGCGTGTGTGTGTATATATATATATATGTGCTTCCAATTAAGAATTTCTAGGTGGTCAAGTCACGGAGGAGCTTGAGTTCATGGATTACTCAAATGGGTCAATATAATAATTCAAACCCGTGATATATGATATATAATGTTCTCCTATAATTATGAGTTTTGAGATCCAAATATGAAAACAACCATACATAGTATATAATTATTATTGTTTTTTTATAGTTTTATAATTATAATTGATATATATATATATATTATTTAATTAAGAAATATATAATTTTATCAAAAAATATATAATTATATATTAATGTGTCACGACATCATATATCTATTGTAACACATGAGTCTGTAATTTAATTATGGGATAATCAAATTTTAATAATAAATAATTTAGAAAAAATTAGATTTCTAATTTTTATTTGAAATTTTGAAAAAAAATTGTGTTTTGAGTGTATTTAAAAATATTTTCAAAAATTAAGTTTAAAATAAAAATTAGAAATGACATATTTAAAAAGAAATCTTAAAAACTGAGGTAAGAGTGAAAATACCATAAAAGAGGCCATGTGGACTACCATGTCAATAGTGCAATTGATCGTCGTGCACCGTGTGGCAGACACGCGTCTGCGCAGGAAGCCACGCGGGTGATTCACATGTCAACGGATCCGATAGCCCAGATCTCCTCTCGTGCACGTGGACGATCGAGGTCGATTTTTTGAATAGGCTCGATCGAACTGCCTGCGTGCCATGGATCAAACGGTCTATATTAATTTTCTCTTCAAGTGTGATCGAATAATCCTCGACACTTCACGTGTCCCTGCACGGACGACCTAGATCAATGCGGAGAGGGTATTTAAACCTCGCTTCCTAAAAATCCTAACCCTAACTATATCTGACCCCGCCGAAGAAGAAGAAAAAGGGCGACCGAAAGGAGAGTCGACCACCGTCGATGCCGCATTGAAGTCACCGACGACACTAGGAAGGTGAGTTTTTTTCCTCTTTCGCTTCGAAATTTGATTCTAGCATCCCTACACCTATATTGACGCCAAAAAGCCAAAAGAAAAGCTAAAAATCGATAGTCGAGCCGTCGTACCGGTCACCCAAACTTGCTCTGGTGGAGCCCGATCTCGCTTTTCGTTTCTTTCTATATTCTGAACATTGAATTCCTAACATTTTTCTGGTGCAGGATTACCGAAGAAAATCCCTGACCGCGAGAGAAGAAGGGTGGAGCCGCCGCACTAGAAAATCACCCCACGTATAAGCTTAAGCTTTTTCCTTTTTCTGGCCAATAGAGACCATCTAACCTCGAATTTTGTAGGTTTTAGCACAAAACCGATCGAAACCGGCCAGACCGAGAGGAGATGCTGTCGTAGGTGGTGAAGCTGGCGCCAAAGCACTATACCGGTTGAAAATTTTCAAAACCCTTATTTTGGCCTTTTTTTTTGGTATTTCAGGACACGTAAGGCGTGTTTTCGATTTTTGCATAAAAAATGCAAGAAGTTTGAGAATCGCCGAGAAGTAAAGTGAAAAAAACTGTGTTTCGAACACCAACTGAAATTAAGAATCTCTCACTTTTTTCTCCTATTACGTTTAATTAAAGTTTAATAAATAATAATAGTGTAGTTCGCGATTACTAGAAACCCTAATTAATCAAATACAGGTTATCAGTGGATGCGATAATTGGTCAGTACGAAAATTACTTATTTTATCTATATTGTTCATTTATTGCTAGACTGTTACTGTTTGCTTACCGTATACACTTTAATTCATAGGTTTATTTGTATTCTCGTTTATTAATTTACTTAACCGTTTATCCTTATGTGTTGATTAGTTTGAAATAAATGTCCTGATCACGTTTTTCTTAATTGTTAAAATATCAATTTATATTGTCTGTTTAATTGTTGCTCTATTGTTCTGTAAATATGGAATCAGATGGTTGTGTGTAAATAGTAGCTAGTTTGTGATGTAAACATGAATGTAAAAGATTTACTGGGTGTCATGGGAAAGGGTGTACGGACCCAGTATATATGGCAAACCCTATCGTGGACATTACCTCAGTCGAATGGGGCTGAAATGTCCTATAGTAAAAGGGGCCGAAAAGTATTTGTTTACCTTCATATTGTATGTGATATTGAGACGGGTAGTATATTTGACGGCCCCATTTACCCGGACGTGGGTATGAGAATGATCAGTTTAATTTGATTAGAATTGGGATATTGTGGTTACGTGCAAAGGAGAAATCTCTATGGACCCTCCTAGAGGTACCCGCCTAAGTAGTTAAAAAAAAATAAAGTTTAACTATTATTGTTCATTATAATGTATAATAAATTGCTATCTTGATTATTGCTTTCACGAGTTGAATTTGAAAACTTAAAAAGTGGGCATGAAACTTATATTTTTACATTAAATGAATTTACCTAAAAAGGAAAATGACTCAATTAGTTGTTTTATAATTTTTACCAACCTTTGTTTTTCTGTATCGGTTGTTAAGTATTGACATTTTTACTGTATTAGTATAACGTATTTCCCTTATTTAACTATTTTAAATTAGAAAGACCAAAATCTAAATCCTGAATAGTAAAAAAATTAGCGACTAAAGATTGCTTCGATATCTCATTCGTGTTGTCTTGCGGATGTTGACCTTATAAAATTTTAGTTACATTTCTATTTTTGTTATTTTAATATCATTTAAAAGATATTCTCTAATCCTATTGCACATCATAATTTATTGTGCAATAAATATAAATTCTAAATTTTTAATTATTTATACTTATATTTCATTAATTTAATATTTTCATTCAATAAAATTTTGAGCTTTTACATCTATTATTAACTTAATTTAACTATTCCTTTTATTGATATTAAATTAATATATATTAATATATAGTGTATATATACCCTTAAATTTAAATTAATTTAAAAAATAAGTTAAAAATAAATTTTTAAAATTATACTTATACTTAGATTATCTTTTTGTTTAAAAGTAATATCTTAATTTTTTAATAAAAAATATTATTAAAAATTAATACAAAAATTATAATTTATTTTATTTATTAATTAGAATTTAAATAAAATTTATTTTTAATTAAATTTAGAATATATTTATTTTTTAAATATTATATTATTACCATTTATCTTTTAAAAAATTTGATTAATATTTATTTTTTATATTATAATAAATTATTTTTAAAAAATTTAAATTCGATATAAATTTATTTAAAAATATTTTAAGTTATTAATTTTAAAAAGAATAAAATTAACAAAAATTTAAAATTTTAAAATGATAATTATGTAATAATTAATATATATCTACTAATTTTTTAAAATAATTAGTCCCAAAAATACCATTAATATTCTAATTTACATAATAATTGAACCGACCAAATGCTCGTCCTTTTAAAAATAAAAAAAGAAACTTTTCTTATGAGCTCTGACCAACTGTAACTAAGAACAGTAACAGAGCATCAACCACCATCGTCTTCCCCTCCCTTCTCCTCCTCTCATGGGCACACTTCACACTCAACCATCCCAAGCTCATTTCATGAACTCACTCTCATCAAAACTCAATTCATCTCTCTTCCTTTCTTCTCCTGTCACTACTAGGCTCGTTTCGTTTCTCTGCACTCACGCGTCCTCTCCTCCCTCCAAACTTCAATCCCTAACAACATCGCGGAGAACCAGATCAAATGCCGCTTCCAGGAACAGTCTAAAGGGTTCTGATGTTGCCGTGCTCAAGGAGAACTGGTTAGATTCTCTATCTTGCCCTTTACCCGAACCCTACTCTGGTTCCGGCATGGATTCCTCCCGGTGCTCCGTGGGTTCCGATTTGGTATTAGGTGTTGACCCGGATGTTTCTGGAGCTATAGCTGTCTTGAGAACCGAGGAATCTGGTTTGTCTGCACAGGTAAAGTTTTTCAGTTTCAATTTTGTTTTTGTTGAGATGTTGTAGCGACAGTATGAGAACTGGTTTATTGGGCTGGAGAGTCTTGAATCTACTGTATGAGTAGCTAGATTTTTCATGCCATTGTTGAATTATACTTGATGGGGTGCATTAATAACAATTTTAAAGTTTGGAAGATGTCTAATTAGAGTGAATGAACATGGAGAATGGAGCCTTAGAAGGGGTATATGGTTTTACTTATGTAAACCAATTCTGAGACTTGAAGCAGTTTATTTCAATACTTTGACATGATCAAAGAATTTTTTGACAAATTGCTAGCGGCTGGCTGGGGTGATCTAGGAAAGGACATTGTATTTCATCCTCGTTAGGCAGTTCAGCAGAATTTGTGATTCTTCTGATCTTTATGCAACAAAAACTAGATCCTTCGTTTATTAGTTGTTTCTGTCTTTTAGATATTTGATTTTGTTTGCATTAAGTGTTAGAATTCTATCATATTTTCTGGGAAATGTTTCTAAGTTCTCAAGGAAAGGGGTTTTATTTGTTCATCTTGTTCGGGATTCTAGTTACATTACAATACTGGTATTTGTCTTATAGACCGTAAGGGCTGTTGACTCATCCTGTATCTTTGGCATAGTCAAGGTTCTTGTTTGGTTTGTAAGAGGACCTTGACAATTGTGATTTTCACTAGGTTTTAAAGAGTTTTGTTTTATAGTTTTCTAGCCTCTTATCAAGTTGTTTTAAGTCTTATTGATTCTCTTGGTAAATGATTGTATTTGATTCCAATTCCTCATTTTTCATTCGGTATCATCTTTTTTTTTTTTCAATTTGTGAGAGTAATTTCCCACAACAAAGTTTTGTGAAGTTTGACAGCAACGTGTAATTTTTTGACTTAGAACTATTATAGTTTCTACAATCTTTATTTTGTGTGCCAAAAACATTTGACTAAGATGCCATGACTCTCTTATTGCAAAGTTGAAATTCAAGTTCGTGCTTACTCCATTCCGTTTAAAAAAAGCCTCACCTGATTGCCTCCCAATTACAATTGATGACTAAACAAACAGATGATTATCAACACTTTGATGTCCTAAACAAAATAAAAAAAGATTTCTATAAAAAAAGTCATAAAGTTTCCTGTCAACAACAATTCCTAGTAGGCTATGTCTTGATTTGTTCTGTATCACCAACTGAATAAAGTTGTGTGAATAAATTAGGTGCCTGTTGTATACAATATTGTAACCATACAGCAAAGTGGTTGCACACTCTTACTGTTTTATCTATGAAGTGTTTCTATTAACATAGCCAGTACCAAATGTAAAATCTTATACAAGTGTTGTATAAGTAATATCGCTATGACTTGAGTACTTATGTAGTTTGGGTAGGTTAAGGAAATTATTTTGCTACAGTAAAACAGAATAAATCTGTCAGTTATGTGATGCTGGTTTTCTTTAGTCTTCCAGGTATTTGATTCTCCACGCCTGCCAATTCTGGTAGGAAACCGTGTTCGAAGACGCTTGGATGCCAAGTCTATTGTCCAACTACTTCGGGGTTTTGATGCTCCGATTGGTAAGGTTTGACTGGAAGCTTAGGTTAATGTTCTATTATGTCTTTATGGATTAATCAATCCGATGACGGCTTTGTTTTTGTTTTTTTTTCCTTCAGAGCAATCTCTCGACTGTAATCTCTACCAGTGAATGAGATCCATACATGATTACTATTTGTGCCTAATATGCTAGAATATTATGTAATGAATTAAACTTTTCTACCTTCAGGAACAACTGCATACTTAGAGCAATCAATCCCTTATCCCCAGGACGGAAAACAGGTTAATGTCGTTTCTCGCAACAATGGATTTTGTATGAACCTTTTGGATTGCCGGTGAATCATGTATGATCCTTGTTGTTGACTATTACTGTTTTGTTCCTTTATTTCCTGCCATCCTCATGCGTGAAATTTAATTAGGTAGAAGAAACTGTAAAACCAACAAAAGTTCAAACAAGAAAAAACTATCCACTCCTTTATTACCAGATGTTTCTCTTTTCTTGATGCTTATCAACTTCTTTGTTAACGGTATGAATAAGTAGATGTCTTGCTGAGTTTTCTAATTGTCAAAATTTAGTGTCACCTTCTTCTCCATGCAAGTCATTTCTCTGCACCATTGGACAAATTTAGTATTACCAGCCACAGTAAGCTTCAAAGCAGTATGCAGTACTTGGCCTCAAATTTTGGAACTTACGCTGTACAGCAATTTTATTTGGTCAAGTCTAAGAATATAATAAAATTTATTGTTTTAAATTTTTGTTGAAAGGTTTTATCATTTATTTAAAGGACTAAGCTTTCTGAAAAATTAAAATAGGTAAGATTTGTGAAAATTATTCCATTAATTAACAAAATGCTTGAAGAAATCTTCTGTGGAAAGAAAAGTTCTATAAAAATCAAAGAGAACATAGTAACCTTGTTACATTCCTGGACAATTGCTTGGTTTAATTTTTGTCGACTGAGTTTTTAAATGACGAATCATTTGAGTGTTTTTTAATGCTGAGATAACTCCATTAGTTGTCTGATTTAATTTGTGCTGGTATCTTCATGAAAAGAAAAAGTTCAAAAGAAAGTCCTAATTTTATATCTCTACTGAGATTAGTTTCATATTCTTTTCAATCAAGGGTTGGTGGAGTGGAGGATTCGGATATGGATTATGGATTGGAATCCTAGTTGCCTCAGGGTTTTCTGTAGTTCCAGTTCCATCTTCTGTGTGGAAGAATGAATTTCAACTCTCTGGTAGCAGTTGTCCAAAGGTTTGTTTCCTAATCCAGCATGTTAAATGTTGCTGATATATACATAGATATATAGAGGAAATGTTATCTATAAATGCTAGTAATTTTTATTATTTAGGGGTTTGTGAAAAGTTAGTCTGAGTTGAGTCAAACGCGATAATTATTTTCTTAAGCTTTAGTGTTATGAAAAGGAAGATCATATTAGATTTAGCAAATTGGTTGACGTATTAATACATGATAAGTCTTTTATATTGGAAACAATAAGTACTAAAGATCAAATCCAATTGGAAGGACCATGTGCTGAAACCTAACTGAAAAATTATCTTTATTCTAAAAAATCAGAAAAATTAGCATATGATGGATAGGCATTTGATTCATAATTATTTGTATTTCTATCAATCAAAATGTCGTATACTTCTTTTTGTTTAATGATTGGCATTTGATTTCGACAGGATGACAGTCGGAGAGTTGCGTCAACGTTATTTCCGTCATTAAGCTCACAATTGAAGAGGAAAAAGGATCATGGTACTCCTCTCTTTCCTTGACTAATTTACTTTCTCAATGAGCATTTTTAGAAGTACAGGAGATTTACCCAGCTGCAACATCTACTGGATTCTTGAAAATCTGCATAAAAGATTAACTTTTTAGGATTAATTACTTTGAGGTCCTTGTATTGTATGCCATGTCCTAGTTTAGATGTTTGGATTTCTAATTGAGATTAGTAGCATCTCGCTTTCTGTTAGAATTTCATTTTTCCAGCCGTTAGAAGCCACACATGCTGAACCAGTGAGAAACTGAAAAGTTATTCTACCCTCTTATAAACATACAAAATATATAACTATAACAGGACCATGTTTAGATAAGTTAACCCTTTGAAGACCATGGTCATTGGAACCCTGTTTTATTTTTTTTATCGTTTGGGATTTTCTAATTAGCTTTTGTTCTCTTAATATTTTCAGGAAGAGCTGAGGCTCTACTAATTGCTGCCTACGGCAAGGGCCTAGCGACGCTGAAGCCACCGGTTAATGTCGAGGAATTGGTACATTAAAATTGGCAGGTTATCCAGCAGTTAGTTTTTCAAGGTTCCAACTATGAATTGCTGGTTTTGATTTAACAATACTAACAAGTAGGGTTTGAAGAATTAAGATAGCGTAGTGAACATGATGGATCAAGATTCTTTGCACTTTAAGCATCTTTTTCATCGATTTGGCCACAAATATGGCTCCGACAACCAATTGGAATCCTAAATTCAGAATCTCCTTTAGAAGCATTGAGGTAGTAAACATCTTTTTCATCGACTGGCCACAAATATGGTCCGGCAACTAATTGGAATCCTAAAATCAGAATCTCCTGTAGAAGAATCGAGATATTCGAATCTCTGATGATCACCAGAAACAATTATTGTACTGATATCGTTGCAAACTGGGCCCTGGACCATCTACCTGGGACTTGTAGATTGGCTTGTCCTCCCGAATGCGATATCACGTGGTCGCAATTGATTGATAGTTTATAATTTGTACCTCTTCTTCTTGTATTAAAGAAGGAAAAAATATTTGACTAGTTGTATGGGGAAGATCCTCTAAGCTGTTTTATGTGCACAAAGTGGTTTAAAGCAATACATTAACAATTTATTTTTCCAATTAAATTATGATTAATTTAGTACTTAATTTGCAAATACAAACTTAGCTTAATTAGGATAAAAATATAAATTGTGCTATATTTCGGATATAATTAGTTTATATAAAAATTAATTTATATTGCGGATATAATTTGTTCTTAATATAAAAAAAATTATATAATGTATTTAAAAATATAAATAAATAAGATAAAATTATAAAAAAATTATATTATACGTTAATATACCATCGTTTAAATAAGATATTAATTTTTAAGCGAAATTTAATATTTTTTATTAAAAAATTAAATAATTAAAAATATTTTCATATTTTTTTAAAATAGAAAAGGTTAGAAAATATTTACCTTCTTCTTTTTCTGATAAACCCTGAGACGACGAAAACATTTAAAACCGAATTCGGCCATTCCTTGATTCAGGGAACATAGCCAGCGAAAAGTCTGGTTTCAGCAGGAAGGAAATCGAGCCCAAAGGAGTTAATTGAAAAATGAACAGAGACAAGGAAGAAGATGAAGAAGATATAGTTTGCTTGGATGAGTCTTTCTTCATCAATGACAAGTATATTGCTAGTTTAATCCGTTAAACTTCAACTTCAATTTTGGTGTTTCTCATTTCTCTGTTAGCGATCAAACGAAGGGTTTTTTCATTGTTGTACAGTTATCAGTTGACCACTTTCACTTTTGGCTCTCAAGTTCTTCAGCTTTACTGTCTTCAAGCTGCTTCCAGTGAGTATCTCTGTTCTTTTTTTTTGTTCCTGTCAATTTCATATGAGATGATCGAGTGTGCGTATCAATTTCGCTAACATGATTTATTATTCTAAATTCATCGGAACTATGTGGTTATGTGCTTAGTCGTATTAAGCTTCGTTATGCGGATGATTTTTTTTTTTTTTTGGGTTTCTTTTTCCTGGGTTTGATAATGGAATAAATCAAATGAAAGAGGAAGCTCGAGTAAGCTCCCTGGTAAAGATTGTAGATGACCTGGTGGAATAGATGGCAAAGCGTTCTTATGTTTGATGATTTGGAGCTAGAGGTTATGATATATGATAATTTATAGAAGACGATGGGGAATCATAGGCTAGAAGGTGAGAATCAACATATAAATGGAAGTATATGTTCTTGAGATGTCATATTTCCAACATTTATATATATATATATATTTGAAATAAAAAGTATAATATGTATTCATTAATTATCAGCACCAAGAGGGTGCTAACCCATGTATAAAAAATATTTACTTGTCAACCAGAAAGTCAATAAGATTACCTAAATCCTCTATAAACTACAAAGAGTTATCCCCAACGAACATTTGTATATTCTAAATACTTAATTAGTTATATTTTACTATTAGTATAATTTTTCCCCATTTTAACTACAAACATGAATTGCTATCTCTTTGTACCAAAGTCTGAATTTCGTTACGTATGTAACATCGTCTTAGCTTCCTAAATGCTTATATTAGTTTCATTACTTTTCGTATCAAATGAATACATATACCTACATCTTTGGACTATTATGGGCCGAGTCCCCACATTTTTCAGTATAAAAATTTATGGAGTTAGATGCTTAGATCCATATGCATACCTGACTCTTGCAACCAAGTCCGAACAACATAGTCACAAGTTGTCTAAGATGAAACTGAAATATCTTGAGGACAAATTATTGACTAGAATGTTCAATCACAAATAAAATACTACAACATGGCAGTCGGGAGGGTGGTTTTCTTTCATAATCACATTTGTCTTATATTTTATTCCAGTAGATTGATTATCATTGTTGTTATTGGCTATATAATTGCCAATATATTTTGCCCCTATTTGCAGTTATACACAAACTTATCACATGATCCGAAAACTCCAGTGCTTCCCTTTTGATAAAACCGTTTCATTGTCGCTATCATTGTTAGTTTTTTGGCATGAATATCAGCTATGTGTTTTCCCTTTTCTTTTCCCTTTTGAAAACAGCCATAGTGGGTTAGTGCTTCTACAATGCTGGTGTAACTATATGAGAACAAAGAGTGATTATTTTTCCTGTTTGCGATCCTTAGAATTCCAAATAGAACAGTAAACTCTAAATTAAAGTTTTAATTTGTTAAAAGTTAAATTCATGGCCTATGAATATATTCGGGAATAATTGTGTCATATCACTGATTGTTGATCATTATGGTGACTGTTCGGAAACTCCTGCATCTGTGGCCTCACTGGAAAGTTAGAATTAAAATACTATACGGCATCAAAGTTCTTCATTGGGCACTAGTTAGCCTGAAAATGGTGTTTTAGTTTTGAGCAATCCACATTTCATCTGCTATTTAAGAAAGAAATGTTGAAATCTTTTAAGACATATCCTTTTAAATTTATACTAACTACTTCAGAAACAGCTGATTTTGATTTGACAGGGCAGTTGGTATGGCCAGGTGCCATGCTTTTGAATGATTATATCTCACGAAATGCAGAGGTGCTCCAGGGGTGCTCAGTTATTGAATTGGGTTCGGGTGTTGGTAAGTGCTGTTATAAGACAACCTTGTTCTCTTCTTGACTGCAAAATTGCTTAAATGTGTTAAGAGGTCAGTGCTGAGGTGCTTAAGGATTTAGAGGTATCCAAATGCTACATTTTTGGAACCAGATTAATCCTTCCACTATTATTTTAAATTCAATGTGGAAGTCAGAAGTTGAAGATCTTACCTTAGCTTTTAGGTGCCTTAAGCCATTGGTCACCGTGCACTCATTTTAATAAAATGCCTTGAAATCACTGGTTTTTCATGTATTATTAGTTTTCATCTAGGCTTACCTGGAATATTAGTCTGGACACTGTTCTTGGTAACTTCAATTAGAAGAAAGTTTGTCTTTGGAAATTCCATAAAATAATTGAGCTTTTATCATAGTCTTAAACTGCATACTATGGATTGGGGTGTTCATGGTGGCTACTATGATCTTCTCATGAATTGCTTCTACAGTGTGGTTCTTTTCTATTCTTGCTGTTGTGGTGCTTAGGTTTGTTGTGAAAAATCTGCCTTTTGTATGCCATTTGTGAAGTTCATTATATCACATGGATTGTTTTGTGTCAAGCCTGGTCTACCATCAGCACCACCAGAAACAACCAACAAAACCCTCAAAGTTTATGAAAGGAGGGTGAGGGCGACAAGTGTAAAAGGGTGGGGCTGGTGAAGGTCAGCAGTACCTAATCAAATATTCTGGTTGTCATCGATAATGGCTCAATTAGTTAGAATAGATGAATCTTTTTTTTTTTCATTTTCTTTTTGTATTCCACCTATGCTTGCTGTTAGTTATTTTCCTGAATTTCCTTCAGTTTCTACTTTGGTTGTTATGGAGAAGAATACAGAAAACCTTGGGAAGGAAGGGAACTGTGTCAGAATCTCATCCTGATGAAATTTCTCACTCAGCTTTTCTCAGAATTTCTGTCGACTTTCTCCTTCTCCTTCTCACTTTTCTTTGTCAATTCTCTCTTTTCTTTCTCTTTGCTGTATAAACCCTAACTCTTATCCTGACCTTAATTCCCAAAGCTCAACCATCAACCAATCTTTCGGTTGGAGCTTATGTCCAAGGCTCCTGAAATTTTCCCTGGCTACTTTTGCCATAATGATAATCCTGTTTTCACCACAATTTTATTTTGGCCTCAATGTGATCTTCTATCTTATCTGATGGCTGATTTGTGATAGCTACCATCTGCCATGCAGGTGTCACTGGGATACTTTGCAGCAGGTTCTGCAAAGATGTTGTCTTGACTGACCATAATGAGGAAGTGCTCAAGGCAAGGTCATAAAATTATATTTCAGTACTGGGAAGCTTGGCAGGCGGTATTTCTAAATCTTCTTGCTATCCACAATTTTCAGATCCTGAAGAGAAATATAGAGTTCCATAAATCTTCCGAGGAGTTTGATACTTCTGCTGGTGAGGCAACGAATTTAGTTAGGTTGGAACATGCTTGGAACAGCTGATGTCTCAATTGTCCATCTTATACGCAGGCTTATTTGCTGAAGAGCTGGAATGGGGAAATGTTGATCAGCTCAGCAACATCTTGCAAAAATATACCGGGGGGTTTGATATAATTCTTGGAGCTGATATATATATCCTGATTACCACTTATCCCTTTCTTATTTTCAAAAACTTTCAGGAGGAAGAGAATATTCTATTGCTGATAATATGAGATGGTGCCATTTCATTGAGATTGTTCAATGCATGCTAAATTAATATGTTTGAGCACAATGTTAGAATTACCATATCATTTATATGCCATAAAATATTGTTTCATTGGTTTAATATCCAAGGTTAATGTTATAGAAAGTGTCCTTGATAATAAATAAGCTTCCAACAGTCAAGTGTTCCTTTGCTTTTTGACACTGTCGAGCAGCTCCTCCGTGCTAGGAAGCAAGGATGTTGCAAATTCATACTGGCATATGTATCTCGAGCGAAGACGTAAGTAGCTCATATATAAGTTTGATACTATCTTATTTATTTATCTTTTTAATTAAATTTGATGTTTACTTGAGAGAACTGAATAGGCTGATTTGCCTTCATATAAGAACAGCCCAGGATTTTCTGCTTTTTTAAATCTTTTCTCTACTTCTTTAGATCAGAAGAACTGTATACTAAACTGGTAAGGTTTCATGGGAAATTTGACAGTAATCATAAGTGACCTACTTCCTGTCTACTCCCAAATTTTGTTGTTTGATCATCCCCTCTTTGCCATCAAGTGGAGCACTACGACAGCAATCTTACCTTCGAGAAAAGAATGAATTTCTTCGTTTTGTCAATCATTATTCATCATTTTTGCTGTTTATAAATTGTTTCTTCCGAACTTTATGATGCAGCATTCTTGTTATTGGTTTATGGCTATTTTGCATTGCATGCAGGATGGATTCGATTGTCATCCGTGAAGCTATTCGCCGTGGAATGTCAATAGATGAAGTAGTTGGAACCCGGTCTGTTGTTCATAATCTTGAAGGAGTCATCTTTGAAATCACCCTTCAATAGATATACTGGGTATGTTTTTTAGCTCCCATAAGCAGAAATTCACACACACACACATATATATATGTAAGCAATGTTTCTTGAATCTTTTACTGAAGTTCTTGGAAAACAGAATGCTCTATATATTGTTTGGATTGGTCAAAA